AGATTTTGCATTTCCTTAGCGACAAAAGGAGATCAAGCAGTATGTGTGGAACAATCGTTAGAAAGCAATTTGGAAATTTTCTTTAAAGAATTGATTTCGCATCTCCGTAAAGGTCATGCAATCATGCAATCCAATTGAATGCGGTTTTGAGTAGAAAAAAAAAACAAATTGATTCCCATTCGAATGGAAACTTTTACCAATTGAACGGAAATTGTTAACTTCATGAATTTTTCTTGGTCAATCATATAAAAAAAGAGGAGAGTCTTGGAAAATTCTTTCATTCATTGAAAAGTTTCTTTTCATTCAAGAAATCAGGCTTTATAAATGAAAAAAATCAATTTTTCAAATAAGTTGTGAAGATTACTTCTATAAATTGGCTCAGTATTAGTTCAACTCAACATACTGATCGAACAACAAATAAAACCTCGATATAACATCGATTTTCATTCACAATTTTAATGCACATGAATATGAAACCAGAATAAAATGTTAACTCATTATTAGTACTCAAAATTTCATTTGATAAACAGAAGCAATAGCCCTTGTTTATTATGTACTCAAATTTGATGAATGGATTTTCTTGTTTAACTTGCCAAAAAATCATTTGATATTTTGCTCAATTTTTACTATTCAATTGAATTACATTGTATATAGTAAAAGCCACTTTGTATGCGCTCCACACTATGGAGTGATATGAATAAGAGCTCTTCTTATTCTTGAGAAAAATTGTGAAATCTTTTGAAGTCAGCCTGTTTTCATGGCATAAAAACAGATGTTCATACAAATGAAAAGAGAACAAAATTTTGATTAAAAAACCAGAGAGAGAGAGCGGATAAATCATCATGAGTCATTTTGAAATTAGCTTATTAAAAACAATATGAGTGCATGTACTCAAGTCAATGTTATAAGTGACGAAGGTCATATCATTTGGAAAGTGTGAGACATTTGACTCCAAAAGAGTTGTATTTGTTGTTGAAAGAGTTTGTATTGCAAGAAGAAGCAGAAAAAAATATGTTGTAGAGTGTCTAAAAATCCGAAATGCCATTTATTTCCACTCGAACGCTGCATCTAAATTGACGTGGATTTTCAACAAAACTACTCCATATCAGGCGTGAAACAAAAGACCAAAACCGAAAAAGGCATACGAAGAAAGGGTACGACTGATGAGGAACGCGGCAACAAGATTGAAAGAACGACAGAAAATGATATTTTAACAGAGTTTTTCATTAGTTGATTGATATTTGACAGAGTCGCTGAAGAATCGTTGTTATTGCATATATTCTTGATTCTTTCTTTTTACTTTGAGTGAACATCTCATTATGGAATTGATTTCCATTTTCAATGGCGTCTCTGTACCCATGAATATCGACATAGTTCAAAGTATGCCTATTTAATCACATTCAAACAAGGCAATGTCTCTGGGCGATAACTGAATGTGATAGTTGCTATAACAACAAAATGAATTGTGCGAACAAATCTGTTGACGTAATAGACGACTGTTAACTACATCGTCGCTTGTTATTTGTTTAGGATTTCAAACAATGGCGATTTTATCAATTGAAAATGTATTTGATATAAATTCATATGTGTTCGATTGATTGGAAAACTTTGTTGATCGTTCATAAAAAGAGCATCTGTATTGTGTAACACTTAAAGGATCGATTGGATATCGGCCTGCGTGTGGGTGGTCTATATCTTTGGTAACTAAAAACGAACTTGTTCGATGTGAGTTTTGCGATAACTAAATCAAACGTACACGAGGGACTGTAATCAATCTTTGCCACTGAATTAGATTTATTCTGAATAAACGAATGAATTGTTATCGCTCTCTTTTTTCCGGACTTTCAATATTGATGCTTTTATTTAGCGTCATTCATGATTTCCTTCTGTTTCGCTTTTGTGTATGCGTGTATGCTCGATATGTGGAGATTTATATTTTGCCGTGGGCTTAATCATTGCTTTTGAATTATTGCAATTTCGTGTCAGTTAACAGTTTCATTATAATCATCATATAAAAAAGGTCATTTCAATAAAGCAGGCCTGAACCATAGACAATGTCGGGCTTGTTGTAGGCTCTATAGTTTCAGTTCGATGGGGAAACATAAAAATAACCTTCACTCAATTACTAATTGTGTGCGTTGTGTATTGTTTATTTTGTTCATACGTTTGTTTGTTTTTTGGCGATTAACATGTATTATCAGTGACTGTGTACTCTCAATAAAAATATTTTGTAGCCAGTTTGGTGTGCGGACAAGCTTCGATTTTATCTCTTGTGATTATTTGTGAATGCGAATGAAATATAACAGCCGACACATATGAAACCGACACAGAGGAAACGTAATATTATTCGCATTGAATAATGATGAAAGTGAACAAAATACCAACAACAAAATTCGTTATCCATAACGAACCCAACGGCAACTTTAGCATCAATTTTGAGAACAGAAAATACACGTGCGCCACAGATAATGCATAGTGGCATGTATTTGGTGTTATTTTGCAAACGCTCGCCTCATTTCATGACCAAATGTGTTAAAACATTCACTTTCTTTCTCTATCTCCATCTTCTCTCTCTCTCTCTCTCTCTTCTCTCTTCTATCGATACATGTGTGAAATGCGATACTGATGCATGCATAAAACACATTGTACTAACCTTTAGTTTTCTGTATATCACATTTCATTCTTCGACCGATTGTAAAAACAAATACAGTGAACTTGAAGCCAGCTACCATCTACTTATGTTTATGTAATAGATCGGCATAGTTTTTTTTTTTGCAAACGACGATAGACGAGAGAAAATATATACCACTGAATTAAAGTAGCTTTATGAAAGGCATCAAATCAACACTTTAAACTACTCAAAATTCGTTTGTCTGTTTTTCATTTGGGTTTTTAGTAGCATCAGTATTGTGTGATGTGTGCGTTCAGGCACAGTAAATTACTGATTTAATGGAGAGCAAATGAAATGTGTTGCATTTTAATCATTTTTAGTGCGATTAGGCATTTGTTTTCTGATAGATATTGTACACGCGTCCAAAAGACATACATTTTTTTTGCTCTGTTTCAAATCGATGCTCTCACGCACTCTAAAAACCTCTATTTTTGAAATGAATAAAGACGATTTTGTACAATTAGAGCAAATAGAAACAGTAATGATTGATTGAAAAAGGAAATATATGTTCTATAATTCACTTTCAATCTTAATGGAAATGCAGCCTCGAGATTGAAAGCTTCAAATTAATGCCAACGGTGTTTTTATTTCCATTCGCAAAAACTATGGCAAAAAAATCATTGAATTACATGTTATGGTTTCTATTTCATTTGTTCATCCGAATTTGATTTGAAAGAGAGAAGCAGAAAAAAAACTGCATAAAATCTCGAGCATTCGAATTTCAGATGCATGAATTCGTTTCCATAAATTCGATAGGCACAGACAAATTTCATCACACATGGAAATTTTCTCAAGAAAAAAAAATCATTTGACTCAAAATTAGCGCAGTATTGTTTTCGCTCTCGATGTTTTTTCTCTATGTTTTGCGTGTCTTATTTCTTCTTTTGTTTCGTCGACATTCGTCGCGAAATGACTGTGTATGTGCGACGGAAAATTGAGCACACACTCCGAATGAAGTTATTATGTCATTTGTTGGTGGTGACCAAACGATCACTCACACACGCACACTCACAAGCGTACAAATGAGTCCGTGAGAATTTTTCCAGTTTTAACTATGTCTCCATGTAGCAAAACACGAAAATTGATATATTTTACAAGTGTTTCGTTTGAAATTACAAGATTTTTTTAAAGCAACTAGTTGTTGGTTTCGACTTGAGATTCGTTCACATAACATTTTGTGATTTGGATTAAAAGCAATTGTTTTTTGTGCTTTTTTCGTAAATAGAAAATATCATTAGTTCAGCTTCTCAACTACAGAAATTGCTCGTGCCAAATTACATGTTAGGTACATGGTGCTTGTGGTTTCTTCATATTGAGTTTGAATTTCGCCCAAAAGCGAATTTGATTCGAAATTAACACATCATTACAAGGTACATGCAGCATATGTGTGTGTATATTAAAGTGTACGCATTTCTGGAGAGTTTATTGTATTTTTTATTCGATTTACATCTCATGGGTATTTGCACGGTCAGTTACTACAAAAATTTGTATAATGTAACAAAATGGTACCACATTCAAACGGTTTTGGAGAAGCCAGTTGAAGGTGGTGTTGTTGTTGTTTTTTTTAATTACACAGTCCATTTTAATTCGAAATTGCAATTTCATTCGGCGCCATTTACCAATGTTTCATTGTTTTCACATGATCTTTCTTTTTTCTTTTGTAAAATTGAAGAAAAAAATTAGGGAAATAAACAGTTTGCTGCAAAAAAAATTACTCAAATATGGCCAAAGCAGCGGAACTGTACTGCGGTGAGAAAGGAAGGTGTCCAACTGTTTGAATAAACGCGTATACTTTCCATTAATCAAACGAAATCGAGATTTATACCAGAGATTACAATTTTTGGTCAGAAGATCGAATTTCATTACGTTCCGTTCACATTTTGATTATTTTACTATCTTAATCTTTGATCGAAAATAACATCTCACAGCGTCAACGATACGCTACATCAATTCGTCCATTCAACTGTGATACTTCATACATCTTGCGGTCAATGTGTGATTTGGCTACTACACAAAACCAATCGATTATTATCAATGTATATTTATTGCGTCATCTCATTTCGCATAATTTGCAAGTCGATTATGTGTTTGTGGTTTAACACTTTTAAAACAAAAATCTTTCCGCACCGAATATTTTAAAAATGAAAACAAAAAGTGTTCGTTTTGTTCTTTTTTGTTCAACTGACAAATGTATCACATTATAATGATTTAATCTGTTGTTGTTTTGGTATTTTATATCAGCGTCATCGAACTGGTCTCGGTCGAGAATTGTTTGGAATATAAACAAAGACGATCAACAAATTTGGAATCAGTATACGTTAATATTTTGAAGTTTGTGTACGGCCAAGTATGTTGATTTCAATGATGAATTTGGTATATTTGTTTGTTTTGATAAGTGCTGTGATGTGTGCATCGAACTCGGTGAGATATGGAACATTTTCAAAACTGAAAGTTTAAACTAAAATTCAATTTTCCAAAAAAGGCGAATGAAGAGCTGGGAAATGCGATTCGAATATGTCGTCAACAATTCCCGAAAGAGGCAACTCGAAATGTGTCACACACCGATTTTATTAAATTATCCAAAAATGATAAATGCTATTTGCACTGCATTCTGACAGAACAAAAACTGGTATATTCTAACTTTTATCACACTTGAAATTCAATTTAAAACGTAATTTCATTAATTACTCACATTCATTTGGCAGATTGTGAATGATGCTTTGAATGCCGATTCATTGCAATATGCGACGAATGACGATGTGACGACCAAAATAAAAACGCAATGTGGCGCGATACGAGACAGTGATCGATGTGAACTTGCGGCCAAAGTGCAAAAATGTATTGAAGATGTTTCCAAAACGACACCGATTGAATAAAAATACACCTTTGATCTTGGTCATTTTTCAACATTTTCGACTCTTAGTCAATCTATTTATGTACATTTCAAATTTATTAGTAAATAAAAGATCCACCGAACTGGTTTAAGTTGATTCGTTCGTTTGGAGAGTTTTTTCTCCATTTTTTTTTTAATCAAACAATGGCATCGTCTTCATGGAATAATAAATTTATTGTATTCGCCAGAAGTACGCACACACACGCATTGAACGTGCTCGAATCAACACCCGTGAGATTATTTGAAGAAGATATATCTCTCGTTTTCTGCAGAAAATTCATTTTCGCGCACGAACCAAGGTGAAAAGAATGAAATCAATCAATTTTTGATTAAACCCGAGTTAGTTTTGTTACCAATTTTATTCGTTCAATTTAACAACTCTATGCGGGCCGTTACTTATAATTTCTGTTTATTCTCTTTCTCTCATTCATTCGGTTTGGTTTATTGTTTCCGAATTTATACGGAGAATAAATATGTTTGGCAAATGGCGACTATATTATACATAGCAAAATTGATGAAATTTATTAGCTGAGGTTATTCAATAGAAGCCGAGAATGATCAAGTTGATTCAATTGATGTGAAAGTAATTGAAAGTGAGTGGCGTTCGCCACTCCATCATTTTCAATGTCATTTTTCATTTTATTAGCTGTTGTTCCACAGAATTCGGTTGAAGCGTGCCTTCACTCAAACCCAACTTGTTGATAGTTTTGCGAACTGCTAACTGCGTAACCATAAATATTCTCCATAGTAGCTGGAGTGTATGCGAATATAAGAAAAATATGATGTAACATTGAAAGCGCATTTTCTGTCATACTGGGAAAATTCTTGCGCAAAATGATAAATACATTTATCATCAGTGTGGAAGTGTCCAGAGAGGAATATAATAGAATTGTTGAGCATGTGCTACGAATAGTCAATTATGATAAAATAAATGGCTACTTAGTATTCAAATGATCAAATTCATTTAAATTGCATTCAATCGATAAATGAAAGTTGATTTGCGTTTCCGCATTGAACATTTCAAGTAATCGAGAGACATTTATGAAGAGTTAAAATCCACTAATTGATTATTCTTTCGAAATTCAATCCAGCATATATGATGAATTGTTAAAGATTATAATTAAATTAATAGCCGTTGTTTTATTCGTGTAATCATATTAAAATTTCGTTTTAGAAGGCCAGCGATTTTTATCGATACGCTTTTTTTTAATGCACACAAGAGCCATAAATTAAAATCAATTTGTGGCCATAAAATTAAAGTAATGTTCTTTCAACTGGGTATCGAACAAAAGCAATCAAACCAGACCGGCCATTTGTCCACTTGTCTTTGCGTCGGTCGGCTTATATGAGGAAGCGAATAGATACAAATTGATCAATTGGGCAATCAAATTGAATTGAGAACGAATTTAAAGTGGCTGACGATGTGAAGCCTGGTCTTTACATATGTATGAGCGGTGCTAACTCATCGAATTTCGGACATTCACTGGACGCGTTTATCCATTTCACTGCAATAATAATAAAATAATTCAAGATGCTATCGACAAAAACTCTTTCGCATGATCAAAGTTTTAGATACTATATTCATGTTCTTTTTTTATCTTTTCTCGTTCGTGATGTAGTTTAATTTCTGCCATTCATTGGCGATTTACTCAAACCGAATTTGTAATGATCTGAAGCCAATAAATGTGTGTTTTCTTTATTTTGTTGAATTTTATATTACGGTTTATATGTTTTTCAAATGGAGTTTCGTTGAGGATAAAACCATTTCTGTGCAATATTCATTACAAAAAAAGCATGCCATTAAAAAATTATCTACTTCGTTTGTATATGATCACATTAGACATACATTTGCATCATTTAAAGCGCTGAAATGCAGTGACTGTATTGCTACTGATGCCAATGAAAATCAACTAAAAACTGTGCATCATTTGAACGTTCGTTTGGAATAATTACATTTTACACTCAGACATGTTAATTTAAGCGAAATTCTTGCTTACGTCTTGCATCTTCAATTCAGCAAGCAAAAAGCAATGTATGCGCTTACTTGCTTGTATATATATATGTTTACTCGCAAAAAGGCTAAAATGACTGGAATTTCGAGTGTTAAAATGCATGTTTACAAAGTTAAAATTGGCAAAACATTAACGATTCGGGATCGGCACATTGCATAAAATGTAGTTTTGTCCAAATTTGTGTGGACATGATTTACGTTTTGTGTGTGCTTCTGAATACCATAAATACGCTTGAATTGAGAGCAATTTAAATTGGGTTTTGGCAAAAAACGCCAATATCTGGATAAGGAATTTTGTGATTTTGCGTAAATACATAGTTGAAGAAGCGGGGAAAAAATCACTCGAAAAGAATGTAATATTGTAATATCGCATTTTCTGAAACATAACAAATTATTCTTAATACGAATTGAATAAGATTTATATGATTTTTAGTTTGCATTTGCTTTCCACTTTCTTTATCTTCATTTATTTTCAAATGACGTGCAAATAACAGCGTACAAATCATTTTGCCCATACATTATTGTGTCTGCAAACAACATATGCCAAACGGTATGAAAGCCATTTTGTCATTTTTGTGCCACTTTGGAGTGTGTGTACTAAGTTTTGTGTGTGCGTGTACTATGTTTTGGCAATGAATTGACCATTTTTATTCTCATGTTTTTCCACAACACAATCTCCATTCTCAGCAATCAAAAACATACCAAACACCATTTTTAGAGGCCGCATTTTTTTCCCTCACTGATCTGCACTAAACTCCATTTTTACGTCGGACATTTGTATTTCACAAATTGGTCAAAAACGAGCATTTTGTACCTAGACAAAGGTTTCACACACAAAATTCGTCTTTTCAACTAGTCTCGTGTGTCTTTTCAAGAATGTAATGAACAAACGTTATAATTAAATTTCTATGTCGGCTCTGTTCGTCTGAAGATTTATTTTATTGTCAGCATATTTTATCCGGCACATTCATTCAATGAAATTTCGAGTTAATTCTCGAATAAAACTGATCAATCATTCGAAAATTACATGAAGAATTCGAAGAATGGATTTCAATGAATCTCATTATGTTTAACAAACAATTTTTTTTCTACACTTTAGAACACGTCACTGCTAACATTCACGGGCTTGAACCGAATTTTGAACGCACAACGTGGACATGGCAAAAACAAAACAAAAGCCAAAGTTTTTTTATTTGCTATTTTCACATCGTGCGCGCGGCTTTTGCCTACAAATAAATAATGCGCAAAATTGAATACAATGAGAAAAATTGTTTTTATTCGTAAGTGTGCTGAAAGGCGAAACTATTTATTTGCAAAGCAACCAGATAGAAAGAGAGAGGATGATTGAGAAAAGATGTATGGCACGTTCCGTTCCGCATAATATTGTAATGTTTTCTGCTTCTAGTATGCCAAACAATAAATCGCAATTGTTTGTAGCATTCGCTCTGTAAGATTTGACTTGTTTTGTTGGCCTCACGTTGGTTTTACTTCCAGCGCATAGGTTAAATGTACAATTGAAAGAGTAATATGGGCACCCAAGTTATAAATTTATGGATGCTGCTCTTTCGAATGAATTCACGCATTGTTCAAATGTGTATAGAGGCTTTTTTTTCTCTTGAGTCGGTTCCGCCATTTGTTTCCACTGTGTCTTTTCTCGCACATATGAGCGTATTTTTTTTATGGCATTATAATAAACGTTCTTTTCAATTTGAATGATGACGACCGAAATTCTCATGATTTGGCGCGTTTCATATTGGCATTGTCTTCGGCATGAGCGCAAGCACAACCATACCCATGTGATGCTAAATGCCTGGAAATGAAAAACAATAATCTCCATTTTTTTTATTTATATTCTCACTACAATTTATAAACAACAACGAGAAGGGCTTCAATTGGAAATAATGATTACAAACATTGCGATAACCCAATTTTCAAAACGATATGCGCTTTTTGTTATTATATGAATGAAGCCAATTTAATATTGTTGTTGTCATTGTCGTCGTCGCATTTACACATAACGACAACAACAAAACATCAGCGAACTCTAAATTAAATCGGTTTGTGAAGCCATTGAAATGTGTGTGTGTGTGTGACATCTATTAAATTCGTCGAAAAGAGGGAATTTGACCTAAATTAAGCAGTGACGATATCCAGAGAAATAGCAGGAAAGGGCATTCGCGTAAAAGAAGAAAGTTACCATAAGTGGCGTAACAATGATGAACATGACTCAGTTTACATGCGCGAATACAAACAACTTGTTCTGCTTTTGTTCTTTTGCACTTTGGAATTTTTCGTATTTGGCAAAGAAAAAAAAAATAAGAAAAAAATGAACAGAAACAAGTTATATGCATACCGTATGAAGAAGGAAAAAAATACGACTATCTCTGCATAAATCCAAACGGGAAAAATACACAGACCAATAATCAAATCACATAAATTTGCTGGATTTCTTGCTTCCGTTAACGAAATTGCACGTGAGCGTGTTTATGTAGATGTTTGTTTTCCTTTTTGCCACGATTAAAAAGTACATAAATTTATAAGCGAACCAATCGATATTAATCGATTTAAAGTCTTGTTTTCACATCAACGGCTTTGCCAGCAACATCAACTTTTGCCATCATGATGCTTGTCGTTATGTTGAGCATTTCTGTTTGCATGTTGCATAGTACATGTCTTTCATTAATTACGATTAAAATCCACTTTATCGAATGGAAACCGTGGCATTTTGCATTCGCGCACATGCTATTTCTCTCTGCATTTCCCTCTTTCTCTCTGTTACTTTAACGATAGATTATTATTACCTAGGAAAGCGCATCGATTGATAGAATGAGAGAGAGAGGGAGAGAGAGAGAAAAAGAACGGAAAAAATGGTAGAGAGAATGTACATTTTTGCGGATGAATGAAAGCAGTAGAATTGGCATTGCCATATAAACTAGTTTTGCAAATTAGACATTATGAAAATGAATTTGCACGATGGGTTGTCTGGTTGTCTTCACCCAATCGTTGTGCATATGCGTTGCACACGTGAATTGTAGTCACATTTTGTGAGCAGTCGTGTCTGTGTGTGCGCTTTTGCTTCTG